CAGTTTTTTATACTAAAATAAAATAAACACCAACACAGCCCGAAAGTGCACGGTTAATGCTTGTTTGAAAACTGAAACCCAAATGTCGAAAGGACTTGGAGCAAGAACGCTACTATGGGTGGATGAATGAGGAAGGTGCTTAAAGCACAGTGAATATGCCGTCGTTGTTTGGAATGTATGGTAATGTTGCCGTAAAATGGACGCTTGTATTAATTTTTCTCATTGATCTTTATTTTGATTTTCTAGATTCGTGTTGCCCAAACGCACTGCTTTTATGCACATTTATCCTCCTCTTTTGTTCCTAAGCCCGTTAGATTTACGGGACCGCAGTATCGCGTTGAGTTGGAGTTACTCAGTAAATGGCGCGGTCACTTGGGTTCCGCCTACAAAACGGAACCGGCCCGTATGAACACCCCATGGACCGTACTAACAGAAAATTTCCATCGGATGCGCGAGGGGGTTACTGGCTCAGCCCCCCCGGTGTCCTCACCCATCTTTTTCCGCAGCGAATCAGTTATGTCCAGTTCTTCGCTGGTGACTGAGGCCTTCAATTCAATCGAACAGTTTGATGAACCGGTCAAAGAAGATCTGTCTATATATCATTGTGTCGCTCTACCTTTAAATGCGTTAAGCGATGTGGCCTTGCAAACCCGTCCAATCGATCTGATCAATTCGACCCATTTGCGCACGGACGAGATTGGCCTGCCAATACCAACCAATAAAGCATGGCTGATTCACACCATTGAGTCGAATATTGAGGTATGTTATTGTTGCACATTTTCCAGCACATGAACAGGGTTGAACCCCGTAGTTCTAGGATGAACCCTACCATGATGGGATGGTGAAAGGACCATTCGAGATAAAACCAGCTTGTTAGTTCCGTGTTTGAAAGCATGGGTGTTATGATTTTACAGGGAAAGAATGAGTGTTCCACGGTTTTGTTGTTATTTGGAAGAAGATGATTGACACATTTGCGAGTCCGGGGAATGGTTGATTTGTCGATTGTGTACATGACTTACAAGGAAGAATGAAGCGAGCGAGAGGGACAGAAGGGGCAAGTTCGATCGACGAGAAACCAAAGTATTGCAATACATGCATGTATTGATTGCATTTAAGGAAACTGACCACAAAAGAGATTTTACCAGCATTAAAAATAGCACTATCGCAGTAGCCTCAAGCGAAAATTAGACCAATGTTAAATTTAAGGAGATACTGAGGGAGGAGCCCTCTTTGCTGGTACTACAGTTAGCGGAGCGCGAAGAGGAAACAAGCAAACAAAAATGTAGAGTGGCATCAATGGTGAGGGTATGAATATGGCTTACTATGGGTGCTTTGTAACGAAAAAGAAAACTGGGATGGAGGACTAAACTCAAATAATTTCTCCAGTTTAGATATGTCCTCGGAATTTTAAGTCCTCATGCTCGATGCGCAGATTTTTGTCGTTGCCGCACTTCCAACCCAGAACGGAGATAAAGCAATGAGCGTCATGTTTATTATGGTTCGGTGCTCCACCTTTCAATAAGGAGCCTGGTATAGCTGCTCAATCTTTTTTACAATTAGTATAATTCTAAAAAGCAGTGTCCAAATGAGGATGGTTATTTATTCGAACAAAAATATGATAATGGGTAATTTTTTAAAATTTTTTTATCACATACTTAAGTACGATGAACAGCAGACTGAGCGAACCCGATATTCACGAGGATATGGTGCATTTAGTGGTGGAAACGGAAACCTAATCCCCGGGACCTGGAATGGCAAACGACATAAGGCCGCTACAGGTTAGGCGTGGTATTGAACCAGTTACTTAGACCGAAGCTTCTCATCTCATACAGACCAATCATAATTTCGACAAGCATGCAGGAGGATTAATGAAAAAGCCCGATGGTAGATGTAACTTTTTTCAAGTTACAATTTTGAACATGCTGATTCACCCCAGGAGGTCCTGGTCATTTTGGACCCTTGTGAGAAACTGCTAGTCACGTCCTCTTGCTCGCGCCAAACCTACTACTCACAAGTGTGATTGGTACCTCACAACGCAACGATCGGTATGCATTTTACATGCATCTGATTCCAGATAGTATGCCCAACAAATTGCAATTCCATAGCCTTTATAAGAAAGAAAGTGGTCTATGATTTTTTAATAATCATAACACAACCAGGTTTTCTAGGCAGGCATTGGCCGGGGATTCAGAACGGTATCGGAGAATTACACGTCTGTTCTGTTGAATGTAATGAACCTGCAGGTAGACGAATTCTTAAATCGTTAGGCAGCGTTCAGTCAGTCTTCTTTTTAGTTTCCATGAGAATTTAAGATATACACTATTTTATTGGTGCGTGCTTCGTTTATTTTTATTTTTATCCAGTTTTCCACTTGTTTCGTACATTCTCGTGTTTCTTCTGTCAATTAAATTCAGATATTGTGGAAATCACGTTTACACGGTCGACCAATGACTGCGTCTGACATGCGTGGTTTGATGAACGCTGACAATCAAGCGGGTCGAATAAACACTATACTACCGGATCCACGATTCTACCGGTTCGGTCGTTTCATTCTATCCGCCCATATCCCCGAACCAATACCACTAGATAAACCAGCTGCCAGTCCAGATGTGATCATACCTAAATCGCCCGCCCCTCCCAAATCCTGGTATGGAAATAGCTTTTCTACCACTGGTTCTATTGCCGGACTGCTCTGGTGTCATAACATTCGTCTGGGTACGTGTTATTATAGGATCTGAATTTGGAATCTTCTATGCTCTTCATAAGCTGATGCCCTTTACTTTTGATTAGATCCTTCAAATCATTATGAAACCATGAGTCACACAAGTGAACAAACATTCTAGGAACGCTTTCGGGTCATCAGAAGGATTCATAATTTCTACATAACAAGAGACTTAGTAGATGCGATTCCGTTCGTCTCACTGCAGTACGCATTTCTTTAATGCCCTAGGCTTGGGGCCAATCTGTATGACGTTCAAAC